TTACTCCTTGAAGCCTTACAGATTTTGGAGAAAACAGTTGCACAAAAATATTTGAAGTTCCATGACTGTAAATTTCTTCTGAAGGTTATGGAGAATGGAACTGGAGTTAAAACATTATTTCCTCTAGCTGTCCATTTTACTATTGCCACTTTTGATCTATGCTCATGTGAAAAAACAATTTATGAATAAATCTCTACTCCAAGAGATATTTTGATAGCATAAATCTATTGTAATTATTGTTCATAGCAAATTTTAAAGGGAAGAAAAAAACAGAGGAAGTATACAATTAAAATATTGACCTTAATGAATGAAAATTGGACTGTTTGTACTATGAGAAAATAAGATAATTATGGCTATAAAATCCCATGCTGCAAGAATGAAAATAAACAACATACACAGTATGTGGAAATGGGAGTGAGCCATTACAGTAAGAGAGATTTACTAAGATCTCTTTTCCATAGTAATTCTTAATAATGTGGGATTTTTTTAATTTTTTTTTTAATTTTTTTTTAAATTTAAGGACTAAAATCATCCTGGGGAATGTTCCTGGAGTTCAACAACAGTGCAAGAGATTGATTTACAAACATTTCACACCAGGAAAATATTTGGAAAACCAGTAATGTGGTGTTTGGTCACTACAGTTATAAGCAGCAATAGATGCAATTTTTGTTGCATTAGAACCATTTGGCAGGCTAGTGGTTCATTTATCTGTTACCAAAGATTTCCTAGCCAGGAAATCTACTTTGCAAAAATTCCGTATTTTAGGCTGAGTCTTCTTTTGACGGGAAAAAAGTGATTAAAAAATAGCATGCCAAAACAAAAGGTTAAATCATCAGTTAAATACAGCACAGTAACACTGCAAAGTTTGACTCTGTTTCTGGATTTTAGAATGAATATTCCTTTAAGCAGTAGCTAAATGGTTTCCTTAGATTGTTTGTGTGTTGCACGAACCAGATCAGATCAGATCAGTCTTAAAGTTCATAATTTTCCCCAGAGTGTCTGAAATCCTACTACAAAGAGTCTTTTCGTCTTAAGAGTCTGACACCAAGTAGAAATAAAAGGCTGAAATAATAACACCACTAACTTGGTTTAATTAATTGTATGTTTCTGTACTTAAGCTTGAAGGGTGGAAAGTATTGCTTTAAAGGCTACCTACAAAACTGGTGAATGAGCAGCCACTCAGGGTGCCACTTCAAAGAGAAACACCCAAAAGAGCAACAGAGGGGAAGCTGCTTTTGAATTCTCTCAGTTCCTCCCGGCAGCCCAGGGCTTGCAAAGGAAAACAACCCAGAAATGGTTATTTTCTTTTGTGTTAGTTACATAACCAGCTCCCAGCAAATAAAGGTGGAGGTGGAGCAGCCATACAAAGACTCACTTTGTAACCTGTGCCTGCCATAGCCTCACAAAAGAGTCTCACCTGAATTTAGGCATTTTTTCCTTCCTGGCTAAGGGAGATTCCTTACACTGTCTGCAGCCAACTTGATAAATTCAGGAGCCATGTGTACCTCTTGGTTGCACTGGTGGGTATTTTGTAATTTCAGCCTTTGTGGTTACTCCCGATTTGTACCATATTGCTGAAGCAGTCAGATCTTGGTTTCTACCATTTTTTTATATGCAGATTTCTCTGTATGCAATATTGTAATAAATAAAGAAGGGAAGGTAACTGCAAAAGGGAAAGCTGGTTTATACAAGAGTGCTCAGCCTTCCCTTTGGGATCAGCTGAAGCTCCAAAAATTGTGCTTTCATGTTAAGCATCCTGTGCCACCTTTAAACTTTGCAGCCATGCTGTGGCTTGCATAAAGCAGCATTTGGGCTGTAGGCTGGTATTTAGTGCTGCAGATGACAGCCCTGGCTGGTCAGCAGCCTTTGTTCTGCTCTTTGTTCTGCTCTTTGTCCCATGCTTGTCCTGCATCCCCTGACTGTCAGCTGGTGAATCCCTGGCTCTGCCTCCCTCACTTTTCCCTTCCCACAGCTCTGTACTGGCTTGCTCTTGGGTCTGGGACTTCAGCTTGTGATTTACTAGTTATAAAATCCCAGGATTACAGGTGTGCTCCTTCACTGTCCTCAGGTGTCAGCTGTAACACTGCTGCCAAGATGTCGTGGTGCCCTCATTTTTAAAGGGTGATTAGGAGACCAGTCTGAGAGTAGCTATAACTGATGAAAGGATCAAGAGAATCTCTACATTTGGCAGTTCTAACCCTTTTTTACACTTACTTTATGGACCTGGAAAGGAAGGACTTGCAATAAATACGAAATTCTAAAATGTCACCTGTGCCCAACTTCTCCAAACTTTATTATCATTACCTCTGTAAGAATTAAAAGTCAGTTCATGTACTCCAGAGCAGCAAATATTGTCAGACAATGTGTAATGGAAATTTCTGAGAGCCAATATTTAATATCTTGAAATGAGAAGCATCCAGGATAACTTTTGAAATCACTTGAATTCACTATATATTACTACAAAATATGAAGGTAAATATTAAGGCATTTTCATCAGATGGCTTTAAATTAATCTTTGGATTTCCTTTAACAGGAGAAATGAAGCATCTCTGAGTAGTGGAGAAGCAGGGTGCCCCTCATATTGCTCTCACTGTGAAGTATAACGTAGAGAAAAATTACTTGGAAGTAGTTCCATTTCCATGTTTAAACTCATGGTTTTTGAGTCCAGAATGCTCTTAAATGATCTAGTTTAGGCCTTGATACTGCAAACTAACTCTGGGTAGTTGGATGCATAAACAGAGGCACAGCAAAACCCCACTGAAATTAATACATCTTGTGTGGCCTGGGGCTCTGTCTCATGGGACTGTTTGCTGGGGGGTTGTTTATTTTTTTAAGTGTTCTAAAATGTTTCCCAAGGAAGTATGTGACGTTCCATAAATGACAGATCAGTAGTAGCAAACTTCAAAACCTCTTACACAGTAGATTTTCTTGGCTTTGTTTAGGAAAGTCTCTTTGATTCTGCTTGCATTTCATGTGCTGCTGGGGAACTGTGGAACATACATCTTTATAAACCAAATTCAGAGAGTACCATGAACTGACACCTGCTTGAGTCTTTAATTAAAAGTGGTTTAATCTCTAACAATCTCTATGTACAAAAGCACAAAGTGTCTGTGTTTCATATGTACTTTGAACTGCCATTCATTTGGAAATCAAAGATTTGTAAATAAAACACAGTATGCCAGACATGATGATATTTGACTGGAATCTCTTCCTGTTGGCATTGCCTGATTTTCCTGGTGCTGTCAGCCCCCAGAGATACATTCTTATTAAAAATTATGGAGAGAGGGAAAAAATAGAAGGAAGACTATCTTAAAAAAGTGTATGTATCAACTGTATTAAAAATATATTTAGAGCAGGCAAACACATACAATAGGACCTGCAGTGGACAATTTCCATTGGGATTAGACTTTTTAAACTGAGTATCTTGAAGGTGACTATGTTGGAGGAGCCATTTCTACACCAACTCTAGGTATTTGGGTAACAGTTGTTTTTTTTTATTTTAACAATAGCCTCTAAAAAAGTGATTGCCCATGGAACTGCATACATATAATGGCTTTATGACTGGCCTTCAGTGAAGAATTTAAATTTAAAAGCTTATCTTGCTGTAGCTGCTATCTTATTTAATATATCCTTTCTGTTTTTATACACAGTCTCTAAGATTAGTCTGGTTGAGTATATTGAAAGTAATAAAAAACAGACACAGAAAAATTGTTGCATGTTTAAAGAAAAAAAATCATAAAATGAAAGAGGAAGTGCATCATTTATTATAACACCATGTAGGCTAATGAAAAACATACTGCAGGCTGGAAATTTGTTAAGAGCTGAATTCAAAAAGTTTCCACTCCCAAAAAATGCCTTGGGGCCTCCAGCTGTAAGCCTGTGGCTAAAGAGGCCCTATGGTAAACTGACATAAAAAATAAGTACTCCATAACCAGACAGCTCCTGTTTCACAATAGTTGGAAAGACATTTTTAAAAAGTATTACTATTGATGCTGACTGTACTTTATCAAAGTAAAGGGAGGCAGTGCATTTATGACTAGAATGTTAAATTGGGAGTTGGACATTGGGCACCAAAATGTTTATTGTACACAGGAGAATATGAAACAGATGAGGTGACCTGCTGAGAGTAACAGAGCAGCAGCTGGTACTGGCAGAGCTGGAATGAACATTAAATAATTCCTGGCTCCTCATCCTTTGCTCATGAGACTGGGCTGTACCAGTCCCCTGTTCCTCTCCACGCTGAGCAGGTGCCACCCCTTGTACCCAAGCACGTTCTTTTGCTGTGTGCAAATACCCCCTCGGAGTATTTGGTGGTGTTTGCACCATCAGTGCTCACCTGAATGGAATGATGACGTTTTGGAAGATGAAGTTTTGTGTCTGTCCTTTAAATCTAAACAGATTAAGTTTAGATTAGATGTCTTTCCTAAAGGTGCAACTTCCCTGCTGAGCCAGCTTGGCTTTGGCTTTGCCTTTCCCCTTTCCCTGAGCAGCCCTTGCTAATGATTCTCATTCCCATGGGCCCTTGGCTTCCAAGGCAAGTTGAAGTGTCAGGATGCTCTCCCAGGAAGGCACTGCAGCCTCTATTCCTTCTTCACATGGCTTGGGAAGCAGTGTGCAGTTATTTGCCAGTTATACCTTCTGATGTGCCTCCGGTCTGTTTCTCCAGAGGTTTCCCTGCCTGGCAAAGAGCCCTGGAGTGCCTCAAGGATGATGGGACACTTCCACAGAGTCCAGATTTCACAAACTTACAAAGATGTAGTAAATTGATTGTAACTTCATGAGACTGTTCAGGTGGCTGGTTTGTGATTTTTGAGAAGGACAATCTGAGAGTTACTATCATTTATCTCAGCTACGTCTTCAGTCAGGACTTGGTAATCCAGTACCTTTTTACAGAAGTATCAGGTCTAGAAGTCCCAGTTTTGGTAAATATTTTCAGTTTTACATTGATGAAATAAGCATGCACAATAATAATTACACTGCATTGCTACAGCTCTACTTACATGAGGTGCAGCCCAGGAGAATGTCAGTCTGAGATGGAGCCACTAGGAGGAGAAAAGGAAAAAATAGAAGAAAAGGTGAAATAGTTACTTCTAGGTGACTGAAAGAAATTAAAACAAAATTTAATCAAATCTGGTAAATATAGATCACTTTCATCTTTTCGTCCTGCATCTCCCTAAACCACCTCTGTGTATCATTTACAATACCCAGTGTTTTGATCCAGTGATAAGAAAATCTGTAACATAACTGTTTATGGTGTTTGATGTTGTAATACCTCACAGTGGGGCTGATGGTTTTATTTACACTTGTGAGTTGAAGATCTTGAATAAAAGCTGTAGATTGATGTAAAAATAGAACCATAACTTCCTTCTCCTCATTAAAAATGCCACGCTTGGAGGGTTAAAACTGACATGTAACAGTCTTGGTATGAAATATTTGTCCTGTAATATGAAACCACGATAAATGTCACTTTGGTTTGTTACTGTAAAAAGTGGCAGGTTTGCCACACAGTGTCACGTTAATTCACTTTACTGAGTATGTGTTTGCTCCTTTGCATGCTATGGGGAAAAATATAGAGAATTTTATTTTATTGCATTATAAGAAGTGTAATATATCTGTCCACTCAGAATTTGTAACCACTATTTTGGTATGCAGCTGTAACTTATCTAGAGGAGAAAAAAAAGAAGTAAAGCACTAATTTCCATATGTATTGCAGTAGGAAAAAAAATAAACAGGCATACATAAGGAATTAAAGAGGTCTGAGCTGAGATTAATGATTGAACAGTAGTATTTGTAGAGAAAGGCAAACTTTAATAAGAGTAGATGAGTTCTCCCCTAAAAAGAAAGAGTAACTTGTTCAAGGGTACTTAATTATGACTGAACTTTGAGGTAAATAGAACACTTTATCTGGGAAAAAATGTTTTAAGATAGCTGCCTATGCCACTTCGTTCTTTTTTGTATTAAAGTTTTATTGGGAGGTGCAACTCTGGTCTGTAAAAGATCCGATCTCATTCTGATGCACTTTTTGTCTACTATTAGCACCAGTTATGGTTGTTACCACATTTTCCAGTCAGGGCTCCCCAGCTCTCCAGCTCTCCTTGGCCTCTCTCTGCCCTCTGTTTGACATCTTGTGGTTGGCATTTAAGGGCCCAAGAAAAACAAACAGTGCAACCAGTATTTTGCTTGCAATTTTAGCTTCATAGTTTGACGGAGAATAGTAAATAGAAGGATAAGCTGTTACTATTTTTATGTGGTCTTGATCTTAAGAGAAAGGGATTTCCATGGCCCACATGTCTTTGAGATGTGCCACACAGGTGGAAATGCCCAACACCACCTCTGATGGCTGTAAAGCCCTGCAGTAGTGCCTGGCTCATCACAGTCTCTGACTGGCCTCACTTCTCGAGAGCGAAAATAAATCTGCCACAAATCCACGCAAAAAAAGGAGCAGCTGTTCTGTTCATACTTCCATACAAATTTAAGTTACATTCAGGGACGCAGTGGGCCAGCTGCCCCGTGCTTTAGAGCAGAAATTGATTGTGGAGAGCTTCCCCGGGTGCCTCTCACTGCTGAAGTCCCACCTGGGTACAGCTGTGACACATCTGGAGCTCTGGGAGCTCCAGCTGTGTACGGCCAGGCTGCAGGAGATGGCTCCCCTGAGCAATGCAGTCCTTCAGTGCTTCACTTGTGTCCTGTGGCCTCACCTCCATGTGGGTATGGGTGCCACTAGAATTAGACATGTGAATTGTAGAATTCAGCTGGCAAAGTTGCAGAGGTTTCTTTATATGCATAGCAAGGTGCATTGCTGAGATCTGCATTCCAAGGAATGCTGCTGTGTGCTCATGGAGCCCTTAGGGCTGGCCTGGAGAAAGGTTCTGTGGTCACCCAGCAGCCTCCAAAGAGCAGCTTTGCTCCTGCTGACCTGCTGCAGCTTCCCAAGGATAACGTGTGACTCACTGCTTTCCTCCTTAGTTACTCAGTAGCCCTTCTGCATTGATTTTCTTGCTTTCTGATCCTTGCTGTTGAAGTACAATTTCTTTTATGTAGTAAATAATGTTTCAGGATTGATTAAATCACAACATGAATCATAATGTAAATGCTGAGCTATACACACGGCTCTTCACATCTCTGAGTGTTTGGAGATGAATAACAAGTTCTGTAGTGATAGCCTTTAAGTGGGTTTGCAGTTTTGCTGGGAGCTGAACTCACTGGTTTTTGTTTTAATGTAGGCAACTTGAGCAGAATAAAATGCTGGTTAATCAGTTTGAAATGAAACTGTGGCATGGGCAGAATGAGCATAGTTATTTCTAGATAGCATAAAGAATGGAGTATGATTTCAAAGGTCATATGTAATTATACTTTTATTCATGAGGTCTGTGTTTTATATTCTAACAAATATAATTCACGTGTTGTATTAATCATAGAGAATTCCGAATCAGAACATAAAATTTTGCAGTGCTCTAATGAAGAAAAATGAAAGCGATAAGGAGTAGCAGCTATGTAGCTAATGAAGGAGTTAATTTCAACGTGTGTTTTAGGCCATTAAGTACTACAAAGCAAGCAGTGCTGCTTTGCCAGCACAAACCAAAGGAAGGCAGTTAAGTACCACTCCCTTCCCCAGCCAGCATCGCTGGGAATACTGGAGAGCTCCGGCCGGAGTTCCGGCAGTAGCTTGCCCAAGAAATGTGCAAGAAGATATAAATCACTGGTGCAGACTGTCGTTTAGCAAGGAAAATCCTTTGTATTCTGCATGTGGACGTGAGTTTTTCTCTGTGCAAATGTTTTTATCCTTTCAGGTTGGACTAAGTTTTACAAAGTTACAGAGACAAGAGCTCAGGTGTTTTTTTTCTGTGTGTCAGGACTTGCCAGAGGCTGGGATGTGCAGCCCATCCACGACATCATTGTTCATGCTGTGCTTTGCTTTTTTTTTTTTTTTTTTTTAAAAGAAATCTGAAGCATTTTCCTTGTGTGGTTTCGCAACCCCATTTTTTTTTCCCAAACAGCAGGAGTCCTATCACTAGATCAAATTTGGAATTCACTGCTTCCAACAACTGTCTAATGGATCCACATGTTTACACAGCATGACACTGGCATCCAGATAGTGTCATGAAAGTCATAACCAGTGCTACTGTTTCATGCTTTCTTCCTGCTTAAAAAAAAAACAAGAAAAAAACAAAAAAAACAAAACAAAAAAAAAAACGGGAGAGAAAAGAGGAATTAAAAAGGGAAAAGCTACGGGCACTTTTTTCCTGGTACTCAGGGGTCCAGTGAATGGTTCCTCTGCTTCAGCCACCAGTACTCTCTCACAGAATTTTTGGAAAACACTTTTTTTTATCTGCTCTAACTGAAAATGCCAACTCTCAGGTATTTTATCAGTACTTATTGTATCAATAAATAGATCTTAAAATCCTAGAATCCCAGACCTGCCTGGGTTTTAAGAGACTTTGAAGATCATCTGCTTCAGCCCCACTGCTGGGGACATACCAGGACCAGGTTGCTCAGAGCTCCATCACGCCTGGCCTCACTTCCAGGGACGAATGCTACAAAACAGGAGACTGGAAAATAACATTTCCAGACCCAATCCTTTCTTCCTTCCTGAAACTCCCTGCTGAAAACTTCTGTGTGTCGTGGTGTGCCCCTATAAGTGGCAGCACCCCCACCAGTGCCTCGATGAAGCTCCAGCTGCTCCTCCCTGCCACTGATGTGTCCCCGTGCAGATGTGAGCATCTGCGTGGCCTTATGGTGAATCAAATCACCCAGAGCATCTCTCTGAAAACCAGAGTACCGAGGGGCAGTTGGCACTTGGCATTTGTGTAGCATGGGAGTATTTGTAATTTACTCACCCAAGTGTTTGATTGCTGTTCCCTGTTATTGGATGTAAATAAATCAGTAGCAATTACTTGCCAACAACCTTCCACGGTCATTTGCTCTGAAGAAACTTAGTCCCTGGTAGCATTAAGTGAAGGAAGGGGGGTTTGGCTGGGACACCAGAACCTTTAGTTTTTTTTATGTTCTCATGGGATCTTTCACTTCCACACAAGCAACTGCCTGAACTGGCCAAGTGGTCTTGATTTAATGTTGCTTTATGAACACGACTTGTCGCAGCTGCAGGATGTCATAACCTCTATTTCCTTAGCTTAGATTTGAAATCTGGAGCCATATGATTCAGATGAACCACAACTGCCCTTGCTTAATTTAACTTGATATATTTGTTTTGAAAATACTGTTGTTTGCTCCAAGTTTTAGCTGCTAAATAAATTAAGCCGATCTGCATTGGTAAATGGGGAATACTAACCAGCTTGATTAAAAAACTTCCTAAAAGCTGCAAAGAAAGCTCCAATAATCTTAGCTTATCAGTGCCAATGAAAATATTTCATTAATATTTCATTTGAAAATCTAATTTTTTTTTAAAGACCAAGATTAGAGATTGTCCCTGGGATGAATGTAGCGCTGATGCAAAAACCCCCCAAATTCTTAACCAAAATAATTGTATGTTGTACAGTATTTCAGGGAAGTACAGTGAGCTCACCAAAAACTGTTGCTGCAGACAGGATTCAGACTACAAGATGATGAGCAGAACTGGGTTGGCTTTGCATTCAGAATTTGATTTTACAGGGCTCCTGTTCTTGTGCAGCTTAGAAACAAGCTTTTCCATTTGAAGTAAAGCCAACTGGATTTGTAAAGATACTTATCTTATTCTCTGGCCCCATTCAAATCACCAGAAAATATTAAAGCTGACAAGCCTAACTTGATATGCTTCTCAATATTTTTATGTTAGATTATGGTACACACGGATTTGCACAAGTTCCAGGTCTGAAGTCACTCAGCTGATTTCCAAGTGGCAGATGCTGCCTTCACTTCTGTATGTCTGCTCTCCACAATAGTAAATATTAATGTCAGAGTTTAGTGTCTCTCTTCTGTTAGAGAAATATTAATTTAGTCCATTTTAATATGAGACTAAACTTTTCAGTTTTAGGTTCACAAATACAGTGTGTGTCAGCTCCTTGTCACTCCTTGTTATTTTTGGCATTTTGTCTTCTGGTGAAAT